AGAGGGCGCCCGAGAGGTGGACGACCCGTTTGTGTTTTATTCTGTTGTTTATATTCCTGTTTTTCTGTTTCTTTCCTATTTCTTTCCCCTTTGAAGTTTATTTAAAAAAAAATCATAAATTTAAGTTTCAAATATTTTTTCAAATCTCATTTTTTGTTGAAATTTTGGAAAAAATATTCAGAATTCTAAAACTTTGTTCAGGATTTGGAAAAATTTAGGAATTTTAAATTTTTGTTCTCTTTTCAAAAGAGAATTCCAAATACAAAAAAGTTTGCTCTTTTAAAAAAATATTTGTGTTTTCAGAATTATTCAATATTAGAAAAAATCATTTTAAAAATGCTTCATGTTCAACAAATATTCCTTTTTAGTGAAATGATCACAAATTCAAAATAGTGTTCACGTTTTCTAAAATTGTTCCAAATGTCAAAACATGTCCCCGTTTTGAAAACTTGTTCACAGATTCAAAAAATGTATGTGTTTTTTATTAAAGGTTCATGTTTTCCAAAAAGGTTGTGAATTTCAAAAAATGGTTCTATTTCAAACTTTGTTCGTGTTTTCTAAAAAATGTATGGAATTTTCAAAAAATTATTTTGTAGTTTTAAAAATTGTTCATATTTCAAGAATATTCGGCAATTCATAATCATTAATTTCATTTGAAAAAGTTTTAAAAAGGAAAAAACATTTCAAATATAATGCTGCAATATGTTCTTATATATTCACGCTAGCCATTGGTCAGTAGGAGGCGTTTGTTCGAGTGGCTAGCTGCACTCGAACATGAAAAACAAAAATAATTGCTATGTCGCCAGGCTATATTGGGCCTCAGCCGCTCTCCCCTATTGGGCCTGCTCTAGATCTGGCCCGTCGGTCCTCGCCGAGGGAGGCAAAATTAATTTGTGGCCATAAGGAACCGAATTTGCGACGTCTCATCTAGTTCCTCAGGCGGATGCCAACGGAGCTAGGTTGCCTTTATTACATAAAAACGTCTGGTCTTCCTATTAAATATACGTAAAGGTTTTGTGATGTAGTCGAACTTTCTTCACGATTCACCGATCGAGTACCGAATGTACGACACCTCCGAGTTCTGCACACGTTCACCTCGGTGACATCCCTTGCCTTCTTGATCCAGCAAGTCATCGAGATAGTAGATGAGTTCCGTTAGCACGATGGCGTGGTGACGGTGATGGTGAAGTGATCCTCGCAGGGCTTTGCCTAAGCACTACGAAGATATGACCGGGAGTGTAAACAGTGGAGGGGGGCGCCGCACATGGCTAAGATTATGTCGTGGGTGTGCTATGCGCCCCCTCCTCATATATATAGGTGGGAGGGAGAGGGAGGCAGCCATGGGGCGCCCCAAGTAGGATTCGAATCCTACTTGGGGTTTTCCCAAGTGGCGCCCCCCTTCAATAAATTGCCGGAGGGGGAAGGAAAGGGGGAAGAAGGAAGTAGTACTTCCTACTTTTCCTTTTCCCCTTCCCCTCTTTCCTTCTCCTCTTTGCCCATCCCGTATGGGGGGTGCACCAGCCCCTTGTGGCTGATGTGTTTCCCCTCTTGGCCCATAAGGCCCATATTTTTTGTCGGGGGTGCCCGGAACCCCTTTCGGTGTTCCGATATGTACCTGGTACCCTCCAGAACACTTCCGGTGTTCGAATACCCATTGTCCTATATATCAATCTTTACCTCTCAACCATTTTGAGACTCCTCATCATGTCCGTGATCTCATCCGGGATTCCGAACAACATTCGGTCACCAAATCACATACCTCATATAATACTATATCATCATCGATCGTTAAGCGTGCGGACCCTACGTGTTCGAGAACTATGTAGACATGACCGAGACACCTCTCCGGTCAATAACCAGTAGCGGAACCTAGATGCTCATATTGGCTCCCACATATTCTACAAAGATCTTTATCGGTTGAACCGTTATGACAACATATGTTATTCCCTTTGTCCATTGGTATGTTACTTGCCCGAGATTCGATCATCGGTATCTTCATACCTAGTTCAATCTCGTTACCGGCAAATCTCTTTACTTGTTCTGCAATACATCATCTTGTCACTAACCCCTTAGTCATTTGCTTGCAAGCTTATGATGTGTATTACCGAGAGGGCCCAGAGATACCTCTTCGATACTCGGAGTGACAAATCCTAATCTTGATCTATGCCAACCCAACAAACACCTTCGGATATACCTTTATTATTGCCTCTAGGGCATATTTCCTTCAACGGGGACGTCCGTGAGTAGCTGGGGCGGAGACTAATGCGACTGTGAAGGAGACGTCGGCAAGGACTGCAGGTGGATCTCGCTAGATCCGACGAGGATGGCGCGCGGGAAGGCAGGGCGACCTGGTCGGAGGTTCAGTGGTCATCGATGATTGTGCGAAGGCGGGGACGGGCGACGCTGATCCCCACTCACCACCATCCGACAGAGTTATCGACGAACGACAATAGTGCTTTTTTTGCAACTTCATCTCTGTTGCAAGAATGATTTTCCTGTAGCATAAGTCATGTTGCAGAACTTTCTTCCATATCATCATACGCAGGCGAAGTAAAAATAATAATTCTGCAACATTACCACTGTTGCAAAGTTTTTCAGCAGCAAAACCTTTGTTGCAAAAGTTTTCTACAACAATACCTTTGTTGCAAAAGTTTCTGCAATAATATCTTTGTTGCAAACATTTTCTGCAACAAGACCTCTGTTCCAAAGTTTCTGCAACAGCAGCTCTGCCGCAATGACGAAAGATGCTGCTTTGCCGCACAAAGTTTCCATATCAGACGGCTCGCGAGTCGGCGAATCTTTTGAAAAAGATTCGCCGGCCGACTGTAGCAGTTCCCTATCAAAAAGGTACTACATCAAAGAGTATTCGTCGTGTATCGATAATAATTTCTAAGAAAATGTATCGCTAATACAAAGGGCGCTGCTACACGTCAGCCGGCGGATCTTTTTCAAAAGATCCGCCGACTCGCGAGCCATCTGATATGACGACTTTGTGCGGCAGAGCGGCGTCTTTCATCATTGCGGCGGGGCTGCTGTTGCAGAAATTTTGCAACAGAGGTCTTGTTGCAGAAAATCTTTGCAACAAAGATATTATTGCAGAAACTTTTGCAATAAAGGTATTGTTGTAGAAAACTTTTGCAACAAATGTTTTGTTGCTGAAAAGCTTTGCAACAGTGGTAATGTTGCAGAATTATTATTTTTACTTCGCCTTCGGATGATGTTACGGAAGAAAGTTCTGCAACATGACTTATGTTATAGGAAAATCTTTCTTGCAACTGAGATGAAATTGCAAAAAAAAAGCACCATCGTCGTTCGCCGATAACTCTGCCGGATGGTGGTGAGCGAGGATCAGCGCCCCCCGTCCCTGCCTTCGGACAGTCATCGACGACCACCGAGCCTTCGACTAGGTCGCCCTGCCTGCCCGCACGCCATCCTCGTCGGATCTAGCGAGATCCACCTGCAATCCTTGCCGATGTCTCCTTCCCAGTCGCATGAGTCTTCGCCCCAGCTGCTCCCGGACGTCCCTGCCTCCTGCCCACGCACCATCCTCGTTGGATCCGGTAGACATCGGCAGCTTCACCCCTCTCCCCAACCTTGTAGCAGGCAATAGCCTTTGCAACAGCTAGATCCAGCCATGAACGCTCTCTCCTCTCATGCTTGGTTGACGATTTGGTATGTGCTTGGACGGATGTACATTCATGGAAGGGACCTGAAGATAGGAGACGAGGTTGAGGTGGAAAGTTAATGTTGTGCTCCTTCATTTGAGATAAGAAGATAAGAATGGGAGAACGGTGATGCGGGTCCTACATGGTCACGTGCGGCACAGTGGATGGATTGGTTTTGCAACATAGTGCGTGTTGCAAAATCAGCTTTTGCAACATAGTGCGTGTTGCAAAACTTATGCGTATAATAAGGGTTGTTCTGCGTCACATGATTAAAAATTAATCTGATAATTACGGAGGTGATGGACACATCCAATGATCCGCCGGATAATTCCAAGCATTTTCCTTTTTCATACGGCCCAGCCATATTACCAAGCCTGATATCCATGTCCCACAGTGTCCACCGGTAATAGTAATAAAATTGCAAAAAAGGAAAAATTAAAAAGAATTTCAGCCCTACCTTCGAAGAGAACGCCTCCCTCCCCAGCGAACGACCAGAGAGGCCCCCTTCGCGAGCGCGACAGCTAGGGTTCCTAGCCGCCGCCGGCCCGCCACCACTACTGCCGGCCCGCCGCCGCGGCGCGCCCAGCCGGCCGAAGCCTCCGCCGCCGCGCCGCCGGCACAGGAGCCCAGCAGCGCCTTCCTCCGTCGAGCAGGGCCACCCTCCCTGGAGCAGCCGCTCCCGCGCGGACCTACGCCGGCGACCAGTCCATAGGCAGGTAGCCACCGCTCCTTCGTCCTCCCTCCTTCCTCACTCTTCCGTCCCTGAGGATTTCCTGGAGCTTGTTTCTTTTATGGATGTAATATATATGTAAATTTCAACTACTTTTGATTTTTACTTAGGGGATGAACTTAGAAATCGACAGTAAGATCTGATGGACTTATTGCATAATCTGATCTAATGTTTAATATGATATCTGGTTACATCGACAGGACTGATAGCTATTCATTCTGTTTCCCAACTGACCAATATATGGATTTCAACTTGATTCATCTTAGGAATGTAGATATATCATATGTCAAAACACGATGTCATAACAACCCTTTTTTTTTGTAAGCTGCTTATGTTCTAAGATCCTTATTTCATAGAAGAACAAGTTTATTCCCTTTTTACTCCCCTCTCTCCCCATGTTCATGTACCTATTGTCAATTGGAAAATTTGAACTAAGAATAAGCACGTGTATGTTCCAGGATTTAGTGTGTTGCTGTTAATAGGGAAGTTTTCCTCTCAAGAGAGGAAGAGATAAGTGATCTTATCAATAAACCTGAACCAGGGACATTAATGCACGCTGAGCTTCCTGCTCATCTTTTGTGCATTTTAACCACCATTCATTTCTGATGAAGTTAAGAGGATCGAGAGTAAAGCAGGCCGACTCTGGTTCACCAGGTGAGAGGGACCTATGCTTTTATTCTAAGTCATTCGATGGAAAGAGGCACACCACAGAACATTGCAATAATGATGTTTCATTTTCTGAGCTTGAAGGGACCTTCAGTGCGCCTGTTAGGAAGAAAAGAGGGACAAGAGCACCTCCATCTTCTAGATGTTTACGTGGTAAAAAGGATGATAATGTCATGAGCAGTGACGACGCTATTACAGAAGAAGGCCATGCTGGTAAAAGTCACTCTATTACACACATTAAGGAATCTATTGATTGGAAAACTGGTGGACTGGATTTGAGAAAAACTGGTTTCTCAGGCAGTTTTTCTGATTTTGCAGCCTCTCCTTCAAGCAGGAAGGCAAAAGAACAAGATCACGGAGAGATAGCTGTTGGAAGCTCAGCTGGTAATGAGAAATCTCCCTGTGTAGAGAAGGAAAATAAAACTAGGAAAATCCATCAAGATACATTTCATTTGAAACATGATGGTGTTGTTGCAGATCCCACAGGCCAGAGTATCTCTGTAAACGAAGCACGTGAAAACTCGAGGGCATTGAAAAATACTTCTAATGTGCAAACAACTGCTGTTAAGAAGACTACTGCTGAGGATAAAACTTCTCGAGCAATCATGGATGATGTGAGTTTTTAGTTGTTAATTTCTTCTACTCCAGAGACTGTTTGTTTCATTTGCATGTACTCCCTCCGTCCCAAATTTTTTGTCTTTAATTTGTCTAGATACGGATGTACTTAATACTAAAACGTGACTTGATACATCCGTATTTAGACAAATCTAAGACAAGAATTTTGGGACGGAGGGAGTACATATTTTGTCCACGCACAGCCTGTTCAGTGTTTACTCTTTTCTGTGGATTGTCATGTTGTGGTGATCATCATGTTAATTGATATACTGGCATGTCAATCCAAACATAATACATATGTAATTTGTATACCTCAACTTTTAGTTGCAGAATTAAATCTCTTGGGCATGGTTTCAATGTCTAGCAGGTTTTTAATGCAGAAACGGATTCCACGTCTTCAGATGATGAGAGTACCGAAGAAGTTGAGGATGTAAGTTTTGAATTTTCACTTCCCATTGTACTTTTTTGCATCACTTGCTCCACATTATGATGCATTCACATTACACAGAGACATTTCTTTGTTTCTGTGATCGAGTTTGCTCTTGAGGTTTGAATTGCCTGATCTCTGTAATCTGTTTAAACGACAATAGGTGAAAGTTTGTGACATATGTGGAGATGTTGGTGATGAGGTGAAGCTTGCTGTTTGCAATAGATGCAACGATGGTGCTGAGCATACGTAAGATTTTTCTGTTCCATTTCATTTTCCTTAGAAGTTAGAACTGGACTGATCGCATTGCTTGACACCATACCATGATGGTAAGTTGCACTTCTACTGTCATGGCCTGTAGAACTGTTGGCTGCAACTGTAACAACAACTACTCTGCAACTGCAAGTAGTGCTATGCCTAAATAAGTACTAATATGCTCGTCAATTTACATGATTTTTTTTGAAAAAGCTGATCCATCGAGCATTTCTTTTCCATAATATCTTTCAGAAGATATTGTGTTCGCCTTCTTAAAGTTCGTATCTCTTTTCTTTACTACAGTTATTGTATGCGGGTAATGATGGAAAAGGTTCCGGATGGTGATTGGTTTTGTGAAGAGTGCCAAACTGAAGTAGAATTTGAAAAGGAGAAGTTAGAAAAACCTCAGGTGAAGCTTGTCACTTCAAAGGAAGAATCTGTTCAAGGGAAAATTAGTAAACCTTTCAATGATGCAAACAGCAGAAGTCCTTGTGAGAATGAAGTGGAGGATGAAACTGTTGGCAGAAAAGAACGGAATGAAGCAAATCAAGGCATTGATATGGTTGAAGATGCAAAGATTCCGCCTGTGGCTAAACAAAATATTCCTGAACCTGGTGGTTTATCAATGGAGTCTTACTCCAGAAAAGGAATACCTCTGCTATGCGAGAGCTCATTCAGGTTGGATATGGAGAAAGGAAAGCAACCTACTCCCCAAGTGCCAACCTTACTGGGGTCTAATGCTAGCAAGAATCAGGCACCACCACTTACTGGTAAATTTGTTACTATGAATATTTCTAATTAAGAGACTTTACCTACAATCCTACAATGCTCAATTTAGTTATTAGCACTACTTCTGCAAAGGCATTCCCGTGGGACTCCAGTCGGGGAGAACTTTACTTATCAAGGTTTGATGCAGGTCAACTCTCCAAGTCCACTTCTTTCAACAACTCTAAGGTGCCCAAGGTGAAGCAACTAGTGAATGAAGTTCCTCAGAAGACCAAAACTTTGAAAGATCAGTTGTCCTGTAGTATGAGAAAAGAGGGGCCAACGAGCTTTTCAACCAAGTCAGCATCATTCAAAAAGCCCAAAACTTGTGAGCCAGCAAATAAGGCAAAGTCTTCCATCATACCACCTTCTGAGGAGCTAAGTGTGATGAATTTACCAGTGAGCCGAAATGTAAGTAATGATAGAGGCACTTCTATATTAGGATGCCCCTCAATTACTGGACCACTGGCTTTTCCAGTTCAATCAAAAGCCGAATCTGCAGCTCAGCGCCTCACTACAGGAAATAACATGTATGGCACTAGCAATTCAGGCCATTTTACCCAATTTTGTGGTGTTGATAAATTAGGTTTGTCTGCAATGAAACCTCTGAGTGAGCGAAACTTGAAGGATGCCTCTGCCAAAAAGAATAAAACGTCTGAAGCTACTGAGAAAGCTACTTCCAGATCAGCAGATCAATCTGATCGCATCCTCAAATGTGGTCCTTATCATGACACAGTATACAGGCCTAAAGATACGTCATCTGGAAGATCTGTTCCCAGCAGTTCTACCATATCAAGTGATCTGATGGACAAATCGAGTCGATGCTTTTCACCTGTTGATAACACAATAGTTTCAACCGTTCCAGAGTTGGATTATATTTGGCAGTACGATATATTCCCTTCCTAGCAGTAATTCAATATTTTCTTATTTAGAATAAAAGTTGTCACTTGTCATGCATGCTTTTAGCACCAACAAGGAATATTTAGTGGTTTTGTTAGGTGGCCCCTCATGATCATACTTTTGCCATCTCATTTACATGTCATGGTTCAGTATCATCTGATTGTTAAACATGATTATCACTTAACCCACTTTGTTGCAATCATTTATTTGTTTTATAGATCATTTCCATCACGTGCACTGAAACTTCTGTTGTGTAGGGGTGATTTTGAGCTGTGGAGGACTGGACGATCACCTGAGCTATGTGATGGTTTTCAAGCTCACTTATCATGTTCTGCTTCACCAAAAGTGCTGGAAGTAGCAAAGAAATTCCCTTCCAGAGTCCAGCTTGAAGAACTACCCCGTCGAAACTCATGGCCCACGCAGTTTCAACAAAATGGGCCCACATATGAGAATATTGGTGTTTTCTTCTTTGCTAGAGATGCTCAGAGGTATGCTCCTTGCAACTGTGCTTGTTCATATATTTCTGCAGCTGTCCACAGCATCTTATTCGAATTCACACATTGACTGAAATTCTATTATTTATTTTTCTGCAGCTATGAACATCATTACAGTAAATTGGTTCAGAATATGCTAATCAATGATTTGGCACTCAGAGGAAATATCGAAACAGCCGAATTAATTATATTCCCTTCTAACATCCTATCAAAGAACTCTCAAAGTTGGAATTCTTCCACAAATTCAAGTGATATTTTATCTTGTCATAACTTCTGTGATAGTTCTTATTCTTCCTTGTTCTGTTTCAGGGTGGAACATGTTTTATTTTCTATGGGGTGTATTTAAAGTGAAAAGAGGAGATCACTGGAACCTTCCACTTGATGTACCAATAAGTAAATGTGAACCTAATTTGAACGAGGATCCCATGACCGTGGATCCGCATACCTCTGTTTTGTCATCAAGCCGTTCATCGTCTGAAGACCAAAATAATGGCACTGATCCAGCCTGCTATTTGGTTAAGCCAGCTACTTCTGCAGACCATCAATGTCTGCAAACTTCGGAAGCTAATCGTCAGGGATGTTCAAATGGAGATAACTCCACTGCTCCGGCAGGAAAACACAAGGTGGGTGCTTATAGCTTGTTCTACTTGCTAAGGCATGCTCGTTGACTGTTTTATCCTCTATTCTATGTTGTA